GTTGTGTGTGTGTGTGTGTGTGTGTGTAATTCAGTAACCCAGTAACATAAATTTTCCTATGTTTGCCACGCCTTGAGAGCTGTTCCACGGTTTTGTTAGACAATGCAATAGCCAGAGGTTGCTTGGGTAGCATCTCGCTATCCTATAAAATCGGTGAATTTTGATAAAATGACCGCCAGAGATCATAGTAATCATAGAGTCCCCCTACGACAAACAATCAGTTATTTGTGCTCCTTTTTATTTCTCGTTTCCCACAAATTTAAAACCGTTTGTCCCATGTACCAAGCCACTTCTTGTACGGTTAAAATTAACGCAAACGCGTTAAAACAATGTGTCATAGTCAACGTGTGATTGATAAATGAAAAATGATGTGCATGTCATGAACTTAGCACATTACAAATATTTAAGCCCCAAGTGGTTAACGGAGTGCATTTATGCACCTAACATCCACGGCCTACCCTCAGTCTTCCCCAATCAGCTAGTCACGGGGATTGATTGATCGACTGCCGGATAGACGGTCGCACGTCCAGCTTGAAACCAACCTTTGTACACATCAACGAGGCGTTACACTGAGCCCAGGTGCAGCACATACCCGCCACAGCATCTGATTCCGAAATAAAAATGATTGATGCTTGATCACAAGCGTATACGGTGGGCGGGAAGGAGTCCCCAGTCTGAAAGTTGGGAGGCGGGATAGAAGGCAGCTGCCCTACCTGCCTCCTCCCCTTTATTCCTACGCCTATGAGCCGACCTAAAACCAGCCAATACAAAGCCTCCGGTAGACATGCAGTAAATCGCGCATATGTTCACAGGCGCGCCACCCTCGCGCTCAAGCTGACAAATGTGAGAGACGCGCTGAGCCACGGCTATGCTCAGCACCGACCCGCAGCGTCCGCGCGAGAAGTGTCGCGGCTCGGACTGCGACGGATGTCGCGGTGTGACGGCGCACGAAACCTCCCTCCTCGCCGCCCTCGCGCTCAGGCTGACAAATGTGAGAGATGCGCTGAGCCACGGCTATGCTCAGGCACCCGTCCCGGCGTCCGCGCGGGAAGTGTCGCGGCTAGGACGGACGTCGCGGCGGACGTCGCGGTGTGGCGGCACACGAAACCTCCCTCCTCGCCGCGCGGCGCGCGTCACAGCAGGCGCCCGTCCGCCATGGCCGGCTCGTCTGCAGCATGCTGATAACGTCATTTGGCTGTCTCTATGGACGAGGTCCGTCTGCCGCGCCGACCACGCCGACCCGGCCGCCGTCGGCCGCGTTCGTTGGACGCCATCTCCCTGGGGCTGGCTGCGGTCAGACCTGGGCGGCGCGGCCGCTGCACCGGTGCGCCGGTCGCAGGCGTGCCCCGCAGCGTGGCGGCTGTCCAGGGTGTGCGGGGCTTATTCATCTCATATTGTTGTACTTGAAGGGTATCTCATATGAACGTCTCATATTCTTGTACTCGTAACTTAAACTCTTCTTGAACTTGCCTTTCGATTTTCTCCTGCACTCGAAGAGAGTAAGGGAGAAGCTTTTTGTACTTTTCAAGCAAAATTAGATCAGACGGATTCTGTCTTGTCGGTCACATCCCTTTTCTTGAAATTCTTCTGACTGGTTCATAACTTTGGTTATTAGTAACCGCTTTGGTGGGTGAAATCTCGTTGTACTCCATCCTCACCACTATTAAAGTATTGATTCATATGCATTGGCTTTTCCCAACATGTGTGCTATGTGATATCCCTAGTAGACCAACTTCACCAAAACGTTTGCGCGATAATTGGTGCTAAAATTTAAAACCCTCTATTTAGGGACAAGAAATATGAAAATTGTAAATCATTCTCACGTGAATCCAGCGAAATGTTGGACTATGGGTTTAATTTGTCTCCTATGGCGTTTAGCATAGTGACTCTCACTCTGAAGGGTATTTTGTTTTTTTTAAGCAGTGCATACTTGGATACTCATTTCGTGCAAGGTTGTGATCATAAAGCAGGCATGCGTCAGCAACATATCACCTAGTTTAGTGACACACATATTTCATCAATGCGCTACTGGCTAAATGCATACGCCGCGCATCGCGCCAATCAAATCACGGCGGTTGAAAATACCATGCATTGCACATGAACACATTACCCTGCATTTCTCGACAGAATTGTCCCATCCTGAGCAGATCAGCCGTGCCTTACATTACATCCGTGTTTACCCTGTGTTTTTGCTCAACTCTGCTAGTTAAAAGCTGAGGACATCTCCTGAAATCACAGCATAGTTGCGCCATTTCTGACCACCACACCCAAACTGCCAGTGACCCGGGCGCGGCATTTTTGACGGAGGAGAGGCCGCCGAACCGTTCACCGGTTGGCGTAAGCGAGCTGACGTCACGGAGGAAGGTTTGGTCTCCAAAACAGACGTAATGTGGGCATGCGCTCACTGAGCCGGCGCACCAGCGGCCGGGATGTCGTCCTCATGCGGCCAGGGGAGGGAGGCGGCTCAGGAGCGAGAGGAGCGAGACGACTCAGGAACGAGAGGAGCGAGGCGGCTCAGGAACGAGAGGAGCGAGACGGCTCAGGAACGAGAGGAGCGAGATGGCTCAGGAGCGAGAGGAGGGAGACGGCTCAGGAGCGAGAAGAGCGAGACGGTTCAGGAGCGAGAGGAGCGAGACGGCTCAGGAGCGAGACGGCTCAGGAGGCCCATTGTTCAGCGGAAATTTGGCGCCGGGTGTGCGCAGGCATTCTGGTCCTAAGCAACATGCGGAGTGTTTTAAGCGGATTCGGCCGCCCCACCACTCGAGTACAATTTATTCGCAACGGCCCCAAGTCATTTGAAATTGAATATCGCGAACTACTCAGCATTTCGTACAAGAGTGCAACAGAACAGTCCCAGAGGACCTGGACATTTCTGTGTTTGTGTGGGGTCAGGCCACATTACGTTGTTATCCTGCATTTTGGGTGATAAATGAAGGAAATTGCATAATTTTGATAAGCGTAGCCGGGGAAGAGGCAGACAACCCTGCTAATTTGTTTACCGTAATGCGTTGCAAGGTGGCTGCACCAGCGCAGGCAGAAACACATCAAGCACATAAGGCGCAAGTTAATGGAGCCATTTTAAAGACCTACGAAATACCCGTGTGTGTGTGTAACTTCATCCCACACTTCGTTGGTTGTATCTCCACTGCGTAACCTGCATCTGAGAGAGACCAGCTATCAGTGGGCACCGGGAGAAATAAGTCGTCATCGCTCGGAGCGGAAGCGCAAACAGCGCCCTATGCGAGGCAAGATGGCTCTGCTAAGCAGGCAGAGGAGGCAGCCGGGTCCGGGACACGTGCTGGGAGCTCCTGCGCTCATGTTGCTGTGCTCCGAGGCGTGATCCCCCGACAGCTTCGAGAATATCTTAACCCCGCACACCGGGTTCAAATATTAGACTGAGACGTCGTGGCTACCAAATTAATGTCAAATGCAAATTGCATGTTCGTGCTTGCGACATTGCCGGTATTGCAGCGTTGCTGACCTGATGAGCGCCACCCAGTCAGACCATCTAGTGGACCCCATGAACCCTCAGCAATCTGACATGATTTTGCCAGCCGCCGTGAGCGTCGGATAGTATACGACCGTTGCCTGTTTCACACTTAATGCCTATGCAGAAGCCAAAGACGTGATGAAAAGGTTGGCAGAAGGGATACATATCAGCTCGATTTTCAAAGGATAAAAAATTGCCCCATGACTTTGCCCGCACAATGTACATTTTTCCCATTATCTCATCTTAAAACAGCCTGTTAAGCTCAAAGGTTTCCCTCTTTCCAGCTAGACCTGCAATTTGTTCTCCTATTCGTATCGAGCTGTCCAGCTTGGCATCTGTATGCCGGCGAGCGCCGGCTGCTTAGCCTTTGATCCGCGGCCGTATAGGTGAAAGCATTCTTCCCCGAGTTTAGAAGTTTTGGTCAATGTCGGTGCACACAATTTTCGGTAGGTGTGAGGCGATCGGATCAAAACTTTCCGAACAAGCTTTTTGATATTGCATTAGCGGTGAAGATTTGCATGCTCATCCCCAACCTCTACTCAATTCCGATATTTCTTAGGCTTTTTATTGGTGTATATGTAAGTTATCGATTGATGGCGATATTCTGGTAACGGCAAGCCCGTTAAAAGGGAGCATGCCAAGTCAACAACAGGAGCCAAATGACTTCAAGTCATGATCTTCAAATAAAAGGATAGTTGCCACTCTATTGAAAAAGACTAATTGCAATCGGTAAAACGATATAAAATATACATCCTCATACACATACGCACATACATATATACATTTATCATGTAATATTGTGTATTATAAGATATACAATCGATAGAACGACTCCAATATTTGCAAAATGACAACTTCTATAAGCCTTAAGAACCGAAGGAGCGAAAAAATAACATCCCATGTGCTGTGCTGGCGTTGAACTGATCTGACATTACCCTTAACACACGCTCGGGCGGGGTCAAATTGACCCCCAAGGTTTTTCCGGAATGGTTTCCAAACGGCACGGTGAAGCCGCGCCAAATTTTGCATAGCTGTAGAAAATTAAATAGCGGATCATTTGGGGTCAAAATTTTAATGTACCTTGGAAGATCGCTGACCTAAAAAAGGTCAAAATCAGGCCATGGATTCAGCGAAGTCAATTTCTAGGGAACCGCCCATTCTGATGCAACGACGGAGTGTCAGACGAAGCCATACATCGCTGAGATTCTTTTTTAGGCAACACAACACTTCAATGAGCGAATTCCATTGACCTAGGTTCAGGTATAAAAGTTTGTTTTTAGCCGCCACCATATGCAGAAGACTGGCCAATGACGTGGGCTTCCACATTACACAGCATTGCGCCGTGTCTCCAGTTTACCAGCTGGTTTTCACCATGACCGTGCTGAGTCGGGCTTACTTCGCAGCTGACCGTGCTAAGTCGGGCTCACTTCGCAGCTCGCCGGACGTTTCGTGACTGTTTCCGTGGCATGCACCTGCGCTTTCCGTCGACTAATGGCGGTGCTCGTTGCAGGCAAGTTTCGGCGCGAGTTCCGGAAGGCGATGTGCCGCTCCTGGCAGACACCGCTCGGCCTGCGGACAGATGACAGCCGAACACAGCACGCTAACAGCTCGCCGTAAGTACAGGCGCGGGGCAGCACGCCCCAGGCGCCGTGCACCAATGCTTACTGGGCTTACCGACCAATCGCTGTGGATTAACTTGTGGTAAGTAGTATTTAACTGTGGTCAGGACAGTACTGTCCTGGTTCTTCTGGTACATTTTTTGAAATCTTTTTTTGCTGTGATCATTCTGCAGAGCCTTAGCCCTCAGTCCGGCTCTTACGGGAGTCCAACCTGAGGCGAAGCAGGATGTACGAGTGTCGTTCTCTTTCTGGCAGCTGTTTAGTTCGCAGTGCCCTTGTTGGCAGTGTTTTAGCGCACAGTGTTCCCGCCGAGAGCGCTGTTAAAAGATGGTATTACTTCAGTTATTCGATATTTGTTGAAAAACATGTTAAATCGAATCGTGATTCTTCGCTGCAAGAGATATATGCTTAGAAAGTTTGGTGAGCACAATCCCCTTAATGGAAACATGCAGACTAAACGCATTTTTTTGGAAAAGTTCAACAGCAAATTTAAGTCATAAAATGCTTAGGTTTACGTACATCTAGATGGACCTTCCACGTGGTCAATATTTCATTCATCCATGTCGGCGGAGAAAAAACCTAAGTGGGAAATGGTAGAACCATGTGCTAGTATTATATTCTTTCAAATTGAAAACGTTGAAAAGGCAAAAACCCAATACTAGAAATCCAACACATCAAGACTAGAAAATCAAAGCCCAAGACTAGATGTACTCAAATAGCAAACAATAGCCCATGTGCGCTGACGACTTCAAAAAGCAGAAGGCAAATTCAAATAGTACGTAGCGTAAGCGTCATAACAAACACTCCCGCAAATAACACGTGTCATCCAAGGGCAAACAGGTCCAAGTGCCTCCCACAAATAACATGTGTCATCGAAGGGCAAACAGGTCCAAGTGCCTCCTACAAATAACATGTGTCATCGAAGGGCAAACAGGTCCCAGTGCCTCCCACAAATAACATGTGTCATCGAGGGGCAAACAGGTCCAAGTGCCTCCCACAAATAACATGTGTCATCGAAGGGCAAACAGGTCCAAGCGCCTCCCACAAATAACATGTGTCATCGAGGGGCAAACAGGTCCAAGCGCCATTTTTCAGAAACAAAGTTATCTATGTTTTTTGATGCAGCTCAAAGAACTCTTTCTTGTCGTAATTAAAAGTGGAAAATTTGTGCCCAAAATATGCCAAAATGTATTTATTTTAGCATGTCGGCATGTTTAATTCACTGAAACTTGAAAAGAATTCTGAGCATTCTACCTCATGGCGCCTTTTCCGTTAAATAGTAGATGAGATGGCCCTATTCAACTTGAGAAATTGAAAACACTGTCAAATCTATGATAGAATGATGCCGTTTCGTCTAATCACATTCTTGGTGTGTTGCATCGGCCTAGAACAGTATCAGCTCTGTTCCATTTGAAGATTATGACATATGTATATGCGTATATATATATATATATATATATATATATATACATATGTTCGCTGCACATTTCAAAACTAACAACGGCTGCGTCGTCGGACAAAACACATACGCGCAGTGTACACTATGATGGTTTTTCATCACTCTAATAGGGTGTCGATGCGACCGTCCCCCTCATACTTTTAAGATCCGTTTCCAGTTATGCTGCACAGAGCTGCCCAAATGTTCAGTAGCTTATGGAAATCCATTACACGTGTTGTGGCACCAAAAACGTGCTCTTAGCTTCTCATGTTTCGAAGCAGCGGTTGTTTTTCAGGAAACTAATTTCAGGAATTATTTTGCGCTGCATGTTTTTTTACAGAAAGCATTAATACTTTATGATACCCACACAAAGCGTGTAATATGCCCAATTTAAGATGCCAAAATTGGAAGTCGAAATTGGTGTATCACATGTAAATGAATACCATCGCATCGACTTCGGTCAGCTTTTGCAAGAAAAAATTGCCCCGTCCGGATAGATGTAATTGAATGCTACTGAACACGAATGCGCAAGTTCCGAAGCGTGACATATATGAAAGATGCCCCACAAGAAGCACAACAAAAGCTGTCTACAACGGGGAATTTACATCAAGTAGATCGTCTCTCTTTGAAGAAGACAATCTATCCCTGTTTATGCTTGAAGAAGAAACCCTCTAAGGAGGGATCGAAGGAAACACTCATCGGACAGCACTGTTAGCCTTCTTCCTCGACGAATAACCAGAAATGCTGTAGGCCACCGCCATGTCCACGGAGGCGTCGTCCGTACTGTCGCACCTCACCGGCTGCAGCATTAGCCTGGGCTGCGACGGAGCCAGACACGTTGTGGCGACATCAAGACACTGGGATATTGCCCTAATGCGTGACGTGTTGTAGTCTAGAATCGTTTACGTGTATGAGTGATGCCTGCTGCGTGATGCGTGATGCTTGTTTACTTGACGTCGTTTGCATGTATAAGTGATGCGTTATGCGTGATGTCTGTTTACTAGAATTTGCTGGCATGTGTGTGATGGGTGATTTATGAAGCTTGTTTACTTGATTTCGTTCGCATGTGCACGTATTTTTCAGATTTGTAAGCCTTTTTCAGGTGTTCATTGCACCGTAATAATGCTTGGCAATAGCTCCTTGTTAAATCCTCTGAATGTTGGTGACCTGTCAAAATTGTGGTTCGATACTTTAAAAAAGAATGGGATCGGAGGTCAAGTTTTAATTTGCTGCTCATTATCGTTTTGACCAACGCACTTAACCGAAATATTAAGGCATGCATCTCTCCTTTCTCTTGCTTATTCGACGAGAAAAAAGGCTAACGATATTGCCAACTGTATGTGTAATGGTCATTCCCAAGGTACTTTAAAGCGTACGTGAAATCTTCCTATGATCTAACAATGGATAGAATTTCGATAGAAAGCTGATCAACTCACGTTTTATGTTTTCAGAGTTTGAGCCAAAGTACGATCGAACAAAATATTTTTTATAGCGCCGGAACGTCAAAGGGCCTGGGCAAGGAAATATGCCTAGAATTGAATAACCTCCGAATAAATAAACGGATTTTCCTCAAGGAGAAACCACCGCCCCCGAAATACCTCTCTAGACATTTTATTTCAGCATGAAATACTTGATAAGCAAAGCTGAGTTGGCGCGCTCTAACGGTCCGATCATATGGTACCAAGCTTGAATGATTCCAAAATAAAGATAACAACCTTTGCCCAGCCCGGTACAGCTAGGCTTTCCGTGCATTGCGGTGTGTAGACAGCCACTCACATAGTGGATGAAAACGTCCAGTAAGTGGTAGGATTTAAATGGCGTTGCTATGGCGTCATGCATGCCTGGATAGCATTGAAATAGCCTGAACATCTTCCGGGGCGTATAGCTCAGACACTAGGAATTTTAAAGACATAAAGGCATAAAGATATCTGTCAAGCAAAGAACCGCAAGAGCCCATCGAGGTTGGCCTACCTCAGGTTCTGTACGCATCCTCGAAACTTATCGCCTGACCTGCATACATTTAGCTATAAAAGATATTCTTAGATCAATGGAACTTGTCTAAACGGTTTTTGAATGTTGTTAGAGTAGGACTTACTATAATTTCGTTTGTCAGCCCGTTTCAATGGTTTAATTCTCTTTGACTTAATGACATCTGCCTCTTCATAGTTCTACTAGTACCTTTTCCAAGGTGAAACTGGTTTCCTCTTTGTCCCGGCCTAATTTCGAGTGCTTCATATAGATCTATCTTGTCTATCCCCCCCATAATCCTGTATACCTTTATCAGATCCCCTCTTTCCTCCCTCGCCCCCCCCCCCCTCCCTCCCAGTTTTAGGTCTTGACGAGGGCAGGGCTGTGAACTACACCGAAAGATCTTCCAAATGGCTGTTTTAGCCCAAAGTGTAATACAGATGTCGAACATTCTTTAATGTTGAGTATGAATACGTGCGAGTGTGTTTACTAGCACTGATTTTTTACTTATTTTACTCTCCACTTCTTTAAGACGACTCACGTGTTTCAAACAGCATCATGCGTAGCATGACTGATAATATATTACATGGTGCACAGGTCATTACGCAAAGCAAGGCCTGTAGTCTGTACTACGGGCGCAGAGGGGGCTTAGGGTGACCCTAGGCACACCTTGCTCCTGGCCGAGCTTGTGTATTCGACGCACAATTGCGAGAGGCCGGAAACCCAAACGTGTGCTGGCGAAGATGGCACGGTAGTAGAAGTACCGTCGCATTTGGGCTCTACAAATTGCCAAAGCCCGCCCCAGCCTTAGATGTTCTTGGCAGCGCGGCGCTGGTCTCACTTTGCTGCGCGGCGCGCGCCCGAGTACTGCTGCACTAGCCGCTGCCAGACTAGTTGGTGCGCGGCGATGCGGTCCCCATTCTGCAGGCTGCGCGTCTCCAACTTTCCTGCCGCTGTGCTGCTGAACCAGAAGGCAGAGATTCAGTGCAGGCTGCCTGTAGGAGCGCCTAGTGCTGGTTCAGCGGCGCGCTCTCCGGTCTCCACTCTCTGGAACGACCATCCTGCAACCGGACAGCGGGCGGACGGGATGACGCGGCGACGACGGCTGCCGTGCCGTGGGCTGCTGTTACGACCACCTGCGGCGGACAGCGGGCGGACGTGATGACGCGGCGACGACGGCTGCCGTGCCGTGGGCTGCTGTCACGACCACCTGCGGCGGACAGCGGGCGGACGTGATGACGCGGCGACGACGGCTGGCGTGCCATGGGCTGCTATCACGACCACCTGCGGCGGACAGCGGGCGGACGTGATGACGCGGCGACGACGGCTGCCGTGCCATGGGCTGCTATCACGACCACCTGCGGCGGACAGCGGGCGGACGGGATGACGCGGCGACGACGGCTGGCGTGCCATGGGCTGCTGTCACGACCACCTGCGGCGGACAGCGGGCGAACGTGATGACGCGGCGACGACGGCTGCCGTGCCATGGGGTGCTATCGCGACCACCTGCGGCGGAAGCATTTAAAGGGGCTGTGATGGAAGCCGAAGAATCCCGAAATTGCTGAGAAGGAAAAGCAATGTATCTTCT